CTGCTGATTCGATAAAGCTATGTCATGATAAGAAGTCTACTGAAGTCAGCTTTGTAAAAGGAGACAAGGTGTGGTTGTATAATCTCAGGAAGACAAAAGGGAAGTCACCTAAGTTGTCTTCTCCATTGGAAGGCCCATATGACACAGTGGATCGTCTCTCAGACGTGACTTTCCGGGTAAAATGTGTTCGGCGAGGTAAGCCAAAAGTGGTGCATGCCAACAGGCTTTGGCGTTATCACAGTCCAGGACATTTCAGTTGGGACGAAGTGAACAAAGGAACAAATGACGCTGCTGAAGAAATGTCACCTGAAAAAACCACTGTCAAAGAAGAAACTCTACTCAGTTTTGAGAAGGGAAACAATGAAGCCCTTGATGAAGTTACTACCACTGATGTGACTGTTACCAGTGATAGGACATTTCCTGATGAAGCAGATGAGCCACACATGAAGCAGAAGCCGACGAGAGGGAGACCAGTACGGAAGAGGATACGTCCAGTAAAATTAAGAGACTTTGTTGAATTTTAATTTTGTGTTTATAAATTTTGTACATTTAATTAAGTTATTGTTAATTGTTTATTGGTTTAATGTAAGTGGCTATTGTTCGGGACGAACAATACTAAGGAAGGAGCAGTGTTACGACAGCGGAGGTCACGTGACCCTAGTAACACGTCATGCGCTTCTAGAACGTTCATGTCCCTTTCTGAAGTGTCGAGAGGTTACTAGATATGCGGTATTCTTGTATATATAAGACAGGTAAGAAGTCACGGCAACAATGTAATGTAATTGAACTGCGGACAGAAAGATACGTATTGTTGGGTCGAGCGCGTGTGACGTTCGCTGTGAATTATAGCGTTTGTTTAACTTATAGTGTGACCATTGAAATTAAGTGAATTTCAAAGTTGTATTAAGAAAGAATAAACTAGTTTTATTTAAGAAAGGACTTGTGTCGCTAAAGTTTCATCGGAAAGAAATTATACTCGAAGTTAACTAACGACCAGAGACGTAACAATACTTTATTGTTTACTTTACGTGTAGTTTTTACATGAATTTGTTTGTCTGTCCGCATACAATTTTCCAAATAGACCAAGATTTGTCGATTTAATACATAATGCCTGCAAGAAAGCGTAGCTTAAATGCCTTGCGTGAAAATGGTAGAATAAGGAAAATTCAAGCGAAGGGCATAAAAATTACAACTAATAATGTTTTTTGCTTAAAACATAGAAAAAGTAATAAAAAGTGAAATTGTTCTACAATAATTCTGAAAGTATTTAAATAAAATTTTGATCGTTAACCTCTTATTTTTATTCAGTATATCAATGCAGTTATTAAGTATGTTGTGGTTATGTAATTTCAGGAGATACCCAGTTTCTGTTATAAGTCTGTCATTGAGCTGTATATTATTAATAACGGCCTAAACCGTTCAAAGGAAATACTATGGGAAGTCTTTGCGAAGCATGAATTATTGCTTCAATAATGTTTACAGCTTCGAAATTGTTAAAATGACGACTTAGGGAAGTAAAGAAGCTTCCAAGCAGGATAAGCCGAACCGACAGTTACTACTAGTACGACTACTCAGGGCTGGTAGTGATGCTATCGTAACTTCGTTATTACGTTCATAAGCTTAACTTTTGATATGTGCATCACAATGGTAACTAATTATTGAATTGACATGTATGTGACGTTGGTTAAACCTGAAAATGAAATTTGTTTGTAGCAGACGTTTTACACAGATCTAAATTTGTAGTAATTTACGCGCTAAAGTGAAAGTGGCAAAAACAATGCAAGAAAAAAGTTCTAAAAGACATAATAATATAGCTTCTATAGATAAGAGAAATTTCAGAGGAGAAGATGGGAATAAAATAAAGAATCAATCAAATTCATTAAAATGGAATATGAATAAAATTTTCAGGCCTTGGCCTGTACATAAAAAAGATCAAACTGACAGTGAGAGTGGAAATGGTTTTTGGCCATTCACTGGGTTTTACATTTACATTGTAAGTGAGCTGTTATTTGAAAGTCTACATCAAATTTTCAATGTGTGTAGTCGTTTTTTAGAAATATTCTTTTCATTTTTTGAATAGTGCTAATACTATTACTCCAGATATTTCCTCTTGTTTTACTTATAACATTGATCACCTGTATTGACAATGGGTATGAAACCTGAAGAACGTTCAGTTCGGGTTATGATTGAGTATTTAACTTGTTTATGTGGAAAAAGAAACTGTGATTTCTATTACTTCCTAGTTGACTAATGTAACATGACTTGAAACTAAATTGTAAACATTTTCTAACTGAATACCATCCTATTTGAGGAAAGTTTTTATTTTATTTTCTTTAAAAATGTATTCCATGAAATGAATTTCAGCTTCTTTCTGTCCAAGGCTACCCATGGGTTAAAAGTGGGCCAAGCCAAACATAAATTATGGAGCTTCCCCTTATCCAGAAGAACCAAATACACATGTATTATATATTGTAAGGAACTGTTCTGAAAGTAATGCTAATCAAATTATCATGGTGAATTTTCACATAAATGTAGGTACATTTGTAACATTCAAGAGAAGAGTACTTTTGAGCTGGCACATCATCAAATGCAATTGTTGAGAACAAGACAGCCTTAAAATATATTCTAGGGGACCCTATCTTATAGTATTCATATTCGTTTTTTCCTTTGCATCTTGTTTCTTTGACCCACTTCTATTTTTTTTTTTCAGGAAAGAGTTCCTCATGGCACCCCCACCCAAAAATTGTAGAATTGCCAGGATAAAAAAGATTCTGAAAAGGGTTTATTTTAAGGGGTGTATTAGAAAAATTGGGGCATGGCTTTTTGGGGTTTACCAAAAAAAAATTAAAAAAATGTTCCAAACTACTTTGGCACCCCCATTTCCTTTTGACACCCCTATTGTAACTAATGCTTCCAACTTCGTCAGCATAATTCTGTCTTTTGATCTTTTATATCTATCTAGCATTGTACTTACATTATTGGTAAGCTGAAAGTTACTCGTCTGTTCCAGTAGTTGAACTCGTACTATTAATATGATTTATTAATACATAAATATTACTTTGATGAATTTTTTTTTAAAATTGAGTGGGGGTGCCATATGGAACTCTTACCTTTTTTCAAACTTATTAAACAATAATTTGTATTTTGGAGGGCCATGGCCAAAATCGACTCTCCCTCCTTGTCCTACCTCTGGGTCATGTTTGGAAGAACCCAGCACCTTAGGACTGAAATCCATAACATTATATCAAGCCAAATTTTAACGAAATTTACATATAAAAATATTTTAAAATAATTGTTAGTTAAATCTCTGGGTGGGGTCAAGGTCACTAGAAATTTTGAAATAGATAATCAATTACTGTAAATTCTGTTTGCTGAGCATGTTTAACATTTGTTTTTGTTTAGATTGGAAACCATCTGTTAGCTGATTTCATTTACTGGTGGGTCAGTGCTTAATATCAAGTTGCAAGCTTTCTTACTTAAAACTTTTACCATTAGTAGGTGTGTTATTTTCATTCTACACAAAAGTTATCTGTTTTATTACTTTCAGATATATAAAAGAAAGTCTTGTTGGATATACATGTCATTTAAATTAAATGTAAGGATGTTTATACAGTCATCTGGTTTCATCCAGTTTTGTCAAAAATATAACTAAATTTTTTTGTTTTAATTCCTTTGTATGTGTTTTTCACAAAAAAACTTTAAATTATGTCCTTCAACTCAATTACACTAGAAAAAAATGTGAAAGTTGGCAAATTTTTGGGGTTGGAAGATATATTTCCTGGTTAGCTGTTGTTTCAAATAAGGACATTTTCTTTGACAATTAAATGAGTAATGAGTAGTTTGTTGATATATTATTATTTTTTTAAATTTTAGGTGTAGCATTTTATATTTTATGCATTTACATGCAATAAAATAATTGGATTTAGCGGTCATGTAAATTTTGCACATATTTTGAGGTTTGACGAATGAGTTAAATTTAACTGGCTAAAATGGAGAGACATTTTCTCTTGAGAAATAATATAATATCAGCTCATAATTAGATGATCTTGTTTTTGTACCATAAAGATTTTAAACAACACACCTCCTTTATCATGCTTTAAAATACTTGTTATATTAAGTAGAAAACAAACAAACTAGTAACATAAACATGCTGAAATTTTAAAACTAAAGTATAGTAATTTAAAAAATAATTCACCATAAATAATGCTTCAAGCATGATGTTATGGAAATCTAAATAAATAGAAATATGAACTGGTTGGTTATAATGTTTTCCTATATGTATTTTAGCTCCCGATTAGTAGTTAAAAGATGTTTCTATGACTGGTAACAGTGTTATTATTATTATTGTAGAAATAAGTGTGAACATAAGTTTAAAGGTAACTTGAAATATGTTTTGACAAGTTATCATGTCAATAAATAGATATATCATATGTTAATTTGTCATTATGATATCTTTCAAGAACAGAATCAATAGTTAATGTTGCTTTGATTAATAATGAAGCTAACAGCATTAAAGAAATTGCCATGGTAAATAAGATAGTATGCTATTGATATTTTGTAAAACTGTAGTCTATCATAATTAATATTTATACTGTTATGTTTACATATATGTGTACCTAATTGCATTTCATGTGAAAGTTTAAAATTGCAATCCCTTTTTCATGTAGGCTTACATATTTGCAGTATGTGCAGTGATATTGGGTCTTTTACTTAACAAGCAAGGAGAAGGGGCTCCAGATTCTTGTTTTCAGTTTAACAGATTAGATTCTTGTTACTTTAATGACACTAAACCCTACAGATTATATGGAAGCAAGACAACGTACAGTGTAGCAAGAGGGTCTTCTTCAATTAAACCACTGGAAAATAATGACTCAGGTTAGTGTTTTTAGAAACAGATTGTAGCTGATGTTGTTTTAGTGATTTAAAATGTTTCCATTATATCTTTCAAACAATCTAGGTTATGTAAATATAAGATGTTTATGCATTTGATGCCATATTGTTGTCCATGTGACATAAAACTTAACCTCCATTACCAACTTTTTAATGTGTTCAGGCAGCAGGGCTGCAACAGATTAGCAATTTATGTTGCTATGGATTTTAGTCCATGTACTTGCAACATTGCATTATGAGGAAAATAATTGTACTGTTTATCAAGGCAGTTCAAAAGCAGCATATAAATATATTAAACCTGAACAGCTGGATGGTTATTTTAGTCATTTATACTTTTGGCCAAAATTCTATATTTATTTAAAGAATTAGTCCAGCATATTTTGTATGTGGTTAAACATTTGGGTATTACAGGTTTTTAAAGTAGTAGAAAATGAGCATGGATCATAATGATAATGATACAGCTTTTCTACATGCACTCATGTAGAATCTTTATAACAATAACTTAAACATAAACTACAAACCTACATATTTGAATTGCATGTAAATTATACTGGCCAAGTAGACTATGTTAAACTTTTATTTTCTCTAGCTAGGTTCAAAAGCCTTTGAATTATTATTTTATTTTCCCAACATATCTGTAATGAAATCTTTTTAAACTAATAATCAGATTTAAAGATATTCCTAGGTTATATATATGAATGATTTGATGATGATAACTGGTAGTTTTATATAATTTGTTAATTGTAATGCAAACTTATTCAGACAAATGTACATTCAGAAAAATAATTTCTTCTAAAAACTAATGTATGTATTCATACAAAAAGAGTTACTGTAATATTTTTTGAATAAACTCTGGCTCTTGTTAACCACTAAACTTCAAATAATATTCACTTTTTTTATGACTTTATGAAGTACTTTTTTGCAATTTCTATGTATGTACATATTTTTTTGCCATAAAAAGCATAAAAATATCTTTGCATGTATAAACATAAAATATATCCACTTCTCATAATAAGCTATCTTCTAATGGAACAGTTGGTCAACATAGATACTTTTAAGTAAAAAAAAAAGTTTTTTCAATATCAGTAATGAAGAATGTATTTTTCAACTCCCCACTTTGGCATGTACTGCTGAAGTCTGAACGTGTGCTAATGTACAAGGTTATGTATTCCAGAACCTCACTAACAACTCAATATTATGATAAATCATAGAATTTTTGTATGATATATGCCACATTTAATTTACTTGCCTTAGTATATAGAAGTGCAGTTAAACAGACAACCATTATAAAACAATTGTTTATACCATTTAGTGTTTCAAGGCAATCAATTATCTTTATGTACAAATGCAATCAAAACATGTCCAGTAAATATTTTATATGTATTTTTCCATAAGGGTGGGAACTCCCTAACTCAACTGGTCATAATTGAATTGTACCACAGGCTTTTTTTCATTGACTGAAGTTCGCAGTAATTATACTACGTTTTACTGTAGTGTGGATAGAAAAAATATTAAGATATATATTCAATTAATTTTTGATTTGTTGTACTTAGTACTAATCACTCAATTCATCAAAATGTTCACTTATCAAAAAAAAGCAGATCACATTTTTCACTTGCTTAGAGAACATTCTTATTTTTGTAAAACTTGTTAATTTGTTGTATAACTTTTATTTAACAGTTATTACATTATAACAAAAATGAGATGATGTATATTATTTCATTCAAAACAAAAGTAATTTGATTATTACTGATGTTATATTTTTCTTTATCACATGTTTCTTCTTTAGTTTAAAGACAGAAATATTTACAACCTTTTAGGGCATAAAATGTATAGAGAAGAGGCTATTTTCAAACTATACTGTCTGTTTACTAGTCTTCTTAAACCTTTTTTTAAAACAACTATATATATATAATAAAGGTTGAATTCGTAGGATGGTTTTCTTTCACCTGCTCTGGGTTGATTTTGTCAAAAGTAACACAAGTTTGTGAGCTAACTTGTAAAACGAATGATAGCAGTGACACAATTTAATATATGGACATACCTATTTTCTATAAGTGTTATATGTATGTTGTGTTTTTAAAAAAAATGTATATGCTATAAATGTAAGTATTATGTATGTTTAATGTGTATTTTTTTGATTATTAGAATGTGAACCAGTTTTCCTATATTTATTAAATCGACATGCCACACGCTATCCCGATGCAGAGGACATAGTTGAAATGGGTGAACGTCTTGTGATTTTACAAGGCTTGTTATCGAATGCAATAGAACATGGACAAGGTAAGTTAAATTCTAAGGATGTTATAATGACCATTGTCATTTTATGTTGAAGAAAAATGTTTACCTCTGTAGTAGATATGTTCTATCTAGTCTGTGATAGTGTATAATGTAAATTTTGGTAATATTCATTTTGTATAGCTGAAAATAATAAAGCACTTATGATACAAGATATGGATTAGGACTTGTGTGTTAATTAATATAGGTACATAATCAGATTTTGAGATACACTTAAAAATGTGTAGCAGATTCAGTACTGTTATGTTTCCGTTTGTTAATTGATTTTCCATAACTTCGTTCCGATGAAACTTAAGCGACACAAGTCCTTTCTTAATAAAACTGGTTTATTCTTTCTGAATATAACTTTACCCATACACTTATTTTCAACAGTCGTTCTATAACAAACGCTATAACAACGAACGTTAACTTCAACAATACTTTCTGACTGCAGTTAAATTACTCACTACCTACACAAATTGTCCCGTTACGTTGTGACCATCTTATATATATACCAGACTACCCCAATCTAGTAAATGCTAGAGCATTCACGAAAGTTCGAGAGAAGGAGTGGCGTGATACTAGTCACGTGACCTCGCTGACGCAACACTGCCCCGTCCTT